AGGGGAAAGAAATTGAAAATTTATTTGTATCAGGCCTTTTTCTTAGAGGTATATGCAGAGAATATAGCATAACAATAGTTTCTTTACACTTTATGTGTAGTTGTCATTATTTCAATATTGGTCATGCTAATTTGTCCAAACAGCTACAATGGCCGCGTACGCCTAGTGAGAAGTTGCTACAAGATATGTTTGAAGGGAGCTCCACCCAGCTATTGTGTATCCTAGAGGCACTGAATGATACAAACAGAAGGATCCTAATCACATCTCCACCGGCCCCGGACTCAGAAGTGGAGATACTTGATGTGTATGCTGAGCTGTTTATGGCAGCACAAGAAATTTTAGCAGGTAATATTAATTCAGTTGTTGTTTTCTTCCCAGCATTTTTAGAATATGACCTTAAGCTTTAAGATTGGGGATTTTTTATAGCAATTTGTGTAAAATTTGGACAAATGTAAGATTTCATACGACTATACCCCCAGCAGAGCTATTCAAAAAGTGTCTTGAAGACACTTTTAAATAACAATTACTTTCGTCTTGGTATGTTATATTTCTTTCCTATAGTCTTGCCCCGCCTTTCTGAGCCAGTGCACTAGACTGTTCTCAGTGCTTGATAGTAAAACAAGAGCCTGAATAATGTATAATTTTTAAAGTTCAAATGGCCATAGTTCTGTCAAAATTCATGTTTACAATAGCTCTTCTACTTTTTGAAAAGTCGAGCGTAAACAAGAGATTTAGTCAATCTGAAATCGCAACAGGGTTATTTTAACTGCCTCAAACAGGACACCATAGAAACTGACTGAAAGTTGTAGCAATTAATCAAATCAATTGGATGGCCATTTCCAGGAACAAGTTACTGTTGATTTTAGCATTGACAAAACTAACAAAAGTTTGTTGGATGATGCTAAAACTCTATCATTGTTTTTAGCTCACCTGTCACAAAGTGACAGGGTGAGCTTTTGTGATCGCTATTCATCCGGCGTCCGGCCGTCCGGCGTCCGCCAAAGATATTTGGCATGAAACATCTTCTAGTAAGTGTCTACATAGTTTGTTCAAATAAAAGCCCTGGGATCAAAATTGGCCCCGCCCCTGGAGGTCATTGATTTTCCCTATATGCATATAGTAAAAACTTAAAAATCTTCTTTTAAATAACTCTAAGAGCTAGAGCTAAGATATTTAGCATGAAACATGTTCTAATGGGTGTCTACCAAGTTTGTTCAAATAAAAGCCCTGGGGTCAAAATTGGCCCCAACCCCGGGGTCATTGATTTTTCTTATATATGTGTTTAGCAAAAACTCAAAAAATCTTCTTTGAAAAAACCTTAATAGCTAGAGTTAAGATATTAAGCATGAAACATCTTCTAGTGAGTGTCTACAAAGTTTGTTCAGGTAAAAGCCCTGGGGTCATAATTGGCCCTGCCCCGGGGGTCATTGATTTCCCTTATATGTGTATAGCAAAAACTTAAAATCTTCTTTGAAAAAACCCAAATAGCTAGAGTTTAGATTATTAAGCATGAAACATGTTCTAGTAAGTGTCTACAAAGTTTGTTCAAATAAAAGCCCTGGGGTCAAAACTGGCCCCGCCCCAGGGGAGATATTGTTTTTAACTATATGTGAATAGTAAAAACTTAAAAAGTCTTCTTTTAAAAAACCCAATGAGCTACAGCTTAGATGTTTAGCATGAAACATCTTCTTATGGGTGTCTACCAAGTTTGTTCAAATAAAAGCCCTTGGGTTAAAATTGGCCCTGCCGGGGGTGGGGAAGGGGGCAGATCATTGTTTTTCATTATATGTGTGTAGTAAAAACTTAACTTCTTATGGGTGTCTTCCAAGTTTGTTCAAATAAAAGCCCTGGGGTTTAAACTGCACCTTTCACTGCCCTAAGCTTAAAGGCCATGCAAATATTTTCTATAGTTTTACATGAACATACATTTAATTTCATTGAGATTTATTTATAATTGAATGCATTTATTAATTTATCTGTTCTTTACACTTTAACGTCATATAAGTCGGATACAGTTACTCGTATTTTCTTCGAAAGTGTTTTCTTACAGACGTAAAGAAGACAGTTCGCTAGGACAAACAACAATTTATCCTCGGCTTCGCCCCAGACAATTTGTTGTTTATCCTAGCAAACTGTCTTCTTACGTCTGTAAGAAGACACTTTTGAAGAAAAACTCGTACTGTATCCCTTACATAATTTTCCACTTATTGGATTTCATATTCAAATCATGAGTGATAATGTTGGAAGTTTTAATTAGGATGATTGTCAAAGGAATTGAAAATAAAATAAATATGACTCAATATTTGCACAAAATAAGCAAAAATAAAATCCCCCAAAAATATTGTTAATTTACTAAAAGGCTTAACAAACCAGAGCTTTATTAGAATACTATCAAGGGCAAAAATTTCAGTTTGGTTGGAGCAATGTGGCTTGGGCTAAAATTGGATTTTTCTTTTTTTTATATCGTAGTAAAGCCATGTGTTTAGTTTTGTCAAAACATTTTAAGAGAGCACCCTTGGGTGATACAGATATTCTTGTTTTAAATATTTGTACCAAAACTTTCATAATTTTTTTATATGTTTATTACATGTAGGTGGAGGAGGTCATAAAGCATCTAATGTTAAACCTGTCAGTCCTGTTGGTGTGGTTGGCTTGGCTGGTATTGTACCAAACAAAACACTCATGGAAATGGCTTCTAAAGGTATGATTCTCTTGGAGTTCTTTTAATTTTAGTGTTTCCAAGAGTGTTGTCCCACAAAGTCGTGGACAATCACTGTTAAACAAAAATATAATACATAAAACACTTTTGCATATGAGTGCAAAAAATTAAATACTAAATATAAAAGACGTTTTTTGGAGCTTTCATATAGACAAAATTAAAACTGTTCAAAAGAATTTCTTTAAACTTGGCATGTTGTTAGAATATGGTAATAGAAACATTTTAAGCAAGAGAAATCTGGGGGTCACCGTTCTCACTTCTGAGTTATATTGTTGTTGGAATGTTGTTAGAATGTTGTTAAATTGTTGTTATATTGTTGGTATATTGTTTATAAACAGGTGAAGATGGAGCCACTATTGAGGCAGCTATTAAGATTGTGAAGTATGCCTTCTGTTTTGAACAATGGGACGTGTTTGAAATTCTCAACGATACTGTACTTACTTACTTAAGGGTATGTGTTCTTTTATAATCATGATACTGTACTTACCAGTCTAAGGTAAGTGTTCTTCTATAATAAATCCATGGAGCACTAACTACAATAATAACTTGTCTATACTCATCATTGCAGGTTCTATACTGTTCTATACCAGGTTCTATACTGGTTATTTCTTATATACAAGTTGTTATGATTGCACACTTTTAGAATCAATTGCCCTTTACCATGGATCATTAGATAATTCTCCAAAGACTGAATGCTTCCATATAGTCGTTGAATTGTGTGTAAAGACATATGTGTGATTTTGTGAGTTGTACCCAAACGCTTGCTGTTATGTGAAATGATAGGGTCATCTGATTTGTCCAAGTAAACACTGGAAACCCACTAAAGAATATTTTTGGTCTGTGACTTAAGACCAAAAAAGAATAAAAATGTTAAACATTTTTTTTTCTTTCAAACTTTAATGGTGAATTAGATATTTAACTTTATATTACATCAATAATCTGGACCTTTAAATAATTTCGATTTCTTAAAGATAGAAATAATGATAGAGTTATGGCCCCTGAATGTTATGGTTTGTTTGTTTTGTTTGTTTGTTTCATTTTACGCCTTTTCCCAACAGTATTTCAATCATATAGGTGGATAGTTTCCTAACCATCGTTCCTGGAGAGTTACACCAGTTCTAGACTACCTTCCTCCTTGCTAAACTACCATAGCATCTCCCGGGGATCGAACCCACGCCAGAGAGGTAACTGGATTAGAAGTCATCGACTCTAACCCGACAAACATGGAGGCGGTTCTGAACGTTATGGTTATATTTATATAGAGTTATGGCCCCTGAACGATAGATTAGAGGATGCATTGCATAAGATATGTCTCTGTATGTACAAGAGTTACTTCATTCTTCTTGTTTAAGGGAGATCGTGCTTACCCCTTAAGAAATCAATTATCATGATTAAAAATTTGAAATATTTTTAAACTTTTTTTTTATATTTTCTTTTTTAGATTCTTGGTGATGACCATTACATATGGGACGAGAAATGTCTCCAGATTTTGTCAGCCATGGAAAAGGTGATGAGCAGTAAGAAGAACAGGAGGACAGCATTGTCAATGGCTGAGGAGGACCAGCAGACTGATCATGAGCTTGCACCGTCCGTCCTTGGTAAGATAGTGATGCTCATAGTATAACCTTTTCTGGTTCATGTTTTGATTTTACTTAAGATTTATTTTGTGTTTGATTTCGTATGCTAGTATTGACACATGTTTTAGCTTGCAGTGTCTGTTCTTGGTTTGTTTGTACTGCTAAAAGTACCTCTATTTCTGGCTGATATTTGAATTTTACTTTCGATTTACTTTGCTAATTTCTGCTGTGGGTTCTGATCACAAAGGTCAGTGTTAAACTGTTATATTTATTCTGCACTTCAGTGTTAATTTAATCATATTTATTTTAGCTTGATTGTGAAACAAGTTCTTTAAATTTTATTAATCACTTTTAAGTCTGCTTCCTGGAACTAACCATTACTAGTGTCATATTAGGAAACATGGTCATGACCCGTGTAGGGCAGGAACCTGAGAGGTAGACACCTTAACCACTAGACCACTGCTCCCCTTATGTGTTTATATAGTTACATTTTTATTTCGGTGCAAAATGTAAAAAATATTATATAAAGTTTTTGAGATTTTTTTATATTTTACAGCCCAGTCTATGAGATCAGTGAATTTGAATGATGAGTTGATACAACTAGCTGACACTATGATGACTGTTATATCTGGACCTTTTACTGTAAGTAATGGTCAAATCAGTCATTTGTTTAGCTTTGACTGTTGACCATCATATTAGTCATTTTTGGCCTTGTAAGCTTGGTTTTACCTTATCAAATTTAGTTTTTTGTGCAATGGTTTTTTTACAATATACATGATCACATCAAGTTTTTTTTAGTTTTCATGAAGTTTGTCATACAATTGTGAATTGCTATAACTGTGTGTACCTTTGAAAAACAATATTGGATTATTTTCTATTCCAATGTGCTGAAAAAAAAACTGTCAATAAATTGACCATTTGTGCAAATATTTTGAGAATAATAAATTTTAAAAACTTTGATTTCCAAGTTATTGTATGAATAAGAGCAAGGAAATCTTGAAATATGAGATTCAGAAACAAACAATGCATCAGACAATTATTCTCCTTTTGAAGATAAGACATAAGATTTCACTTTTTAATTTCACCATGGATGGTTTATGAAAATTTAGTTCAAGATAAAATGCAAATGCATTCCTGAAAGTTGATATGTTGGATAATTAGTTATTTTTGTTTGATTTTGTTTACAGCCGGAGACTATTGAGGTTGATGTGATAGTTGATGCAGCGTTGTTCCTGTGGAACAAATGTAAGGCAGTGTTCCAGAGATATCAGACTGGTTCTGTAGATAACCCAAAATATCTGAGTAAAATGGAGAACCCAACAAAGGTAAATGACCAAGGTTTTCATTGGGGAGGAGGGGGTGGGAATTGACAAGCTACATTAAATTAGGATTTTGATTGAGTTAAACAAACTGCACAGGTGAAACAGAGTTCTGTAATTCAATCAAAATATATGACCAGAAGAGTGATTAAGGTGGCCTAGCTATTAACCATTAAGCCTGCTGATAGCAACTGAAAAATGTACCAATGTCACCGGTGCAAGCCAAGGTCAATCTGCATATTTGTGCTGCCAAATCATGGTTCAGGGTTGTCATAATGAGGTGGTTGTTGGCCAAAATGTCTGTCTCAAATGCATTTTTGCTGTCTCTAAACTTACAAAACAATAGTTTGTTGTATGTGATAAGATTAAAAAAAAATATTGCCTCAAATTGAAAACTTTTAATGACAACCCTGATGGTCTACACTGTTTGCTATTTAGTGAGTGTATATTTTAAAATTTTCCCTAATAGATGAATGGTTTTGTACAGATTGAAAAAATGGACAAGTCCATTTAAGATATTTAGTAGGTTAAGGTATCTGACTCTCAACACAGGGGATGTTGGTTTTAGAAGCAGTCAAGGAAGCAATTTAGCTGAAATATATAATTAATTAACCTTAAACATCTGAGAAAATGATGAACCTAGCCAAGGTAGACCAATAGGTAACCAAATTTGTTATGAAGTTGTCTTAAATTATACAAGTAAAATGTCAAATTGAAAAAGATTTGTTCTGCATGTGTATCCACAGGACAGAGAAAAAAATGTACGAGCGGTTCCTTTATTTTAACTAAGGATAAGAAAAAAAAAACAACATATGTTAAAGTCAATATATAGAGGAATTAAGGGGTGTTTTTATCCCCCGCCGAAAAGGCGGCGGGGGATATAGAAATAGTCTCCGTCCTTCCGTCCGTCAGTCCTTCCGTCCGACATTTTTGTCCGGAGCATATCTCAAAAAGTATTTGAGGTATCAACTTGAAACTTCATAGGTGGATAGACCTCATTGAGGAGGAGTGCAGTGCACAAGAATGATAACTCTACCCTGCATAATTTTTGAGTTATTGCCCTTGGTAATTTTTCTAAATTAATTTTTGTCTAGAGCCTAACTCAAAAGGCCTTTGAGATATCAACATGAAACTTCATAGGTGCATAGATCTCACTCAGGAGGTGTGCAGTGCACAAGAATGATAACTGTACCTGTCATAATTTTTTAGTTATTGCCCATTATTATTTTTCATACTTAATTTTTCACTTGAGTGGAGCATAACTCAAAAGTGTTTGAGATGTCAACATGAAATGTCATAGGTGGATAGATCTTATTGAGGAGGAATGCTGTGCGCAAGAAAGGTAACTCTTCGCTATATAATTTTTGAGTTATTGCCCTTTGTTTTTTTTCATACTATTTTTTCCGGAGCTTATCTCAAAAAGTATTTGAGGTATCAACTTGAAACTTCATAGATGGATGGATCTCATTGAGGAGGAGTGCAGTGCATAAGAATGATAACTCTACCCTGCATAATGTTTGAGTTATTGCCCTTTGTTATTTTTCAAAATTAATTTTTGTCCAGAGCATAACTCTAAAAGCCTTTGAGATATCAACATGAAACTTCATAGGTGCATAGATCTCACTCAGGAGGTGTGCAGTGCACAAGAAAAATAACTCTAACTTTCATGATTTTTGAGTTATTGCACTTTGTTATTTTTCATACTTAATCTTTCACCTGAGTGGAGCATAACTCAAAAGTGTTTAAGAAGTCAACATGAAATGTCATAGGTGGATAGATCTTATTGAGGAGGAATGCTGTGCACAAGAATGAAAACTCTTCCCTATACAATTTTTGAGTTATTGCCCTTTGTTCTTTTTCATACTTTTTTTCCGGAGCTTATCTCAAAAAGTATGTGAGGTATTAACTTGAAACTTCATAGGTGGATAGACCTCATTGAGGAGGAGTGCAGTGCACAAGAATGATAACTCTACCCGGCATAATCTTTGAGTAATTGCCCTTTGGTAATTTTTTAAAATTAATTTTTGTCTAAAGCATAACTCAAAAGGCCTTTGATATATCAACATAAAACTTTATAGGTGCATAGATCTCACTCAGGAGGTATGCAGTGCACAAGAATGATTTACTCTACCTGTCATAATTTTTGAGTTATTGCCCTTTATTATTTTTCATACTTAATTTTCACCTGAGTGGAGCATAACTCAAAAGTGTTTGAGATGTCAGCATGAAATGTCATAGGTGGATAGATCTTATTGAGGAGGAATGCTGTGCACAAGAATGATAACTCCTCGCTATATAATTTTTGAGTTATTGCTCTTTGTTCTTTTTCATACTATTTTGTCCGGAGCTTATCTCATCAACTTGAAACTTCATAGGTGGATAGATTTTACTGAGGAGGGGTGCAGCACACAAGAATGATAACCTACCCTGTATTATTTTTCAGTTATTGCCCTTTGTTATTTTCAGCCATCAGTATTCACATAGGTTTCAAATCTGTAATCACTTCAGCCATTAGTTTTCATTTCTAAAAGACCTCTTAAAATTGAATTATTCTGCTCTACTACATATACATTCTTCCAATGAGCAAACCCATTCGGCAGGGGATGGCCATGTTGACATGGCTCTTGTTTATTCTTATTTTTACATTAAAAAGTTTTTACTGGTAATTTTCCACCCTTGGGCCATCCTTAAAAAAATGTTTGTTTGCAGTAACGCTACCGACTCACAAAATTTGCCCCTACTTAAAATTTTTTTTCATGGTCTGGATAATTTTTTATTTTTTTTTGAATCAGAAAATTATGCCTTGTGCTTTGTTTTCGTTCTTTTAAAGGTTAATAGAAGAAATAAAATGTAGGGCTTATTAAATTAGAATTCAGTTATCAATTTATTAATTGTTACCAGATTATCAAAGCATATATTGTCCAGCATTTTGAAATTCCATGTTTATTTGGGAGTACAGTTCAATAAAAAAAAAAAAAATCGACCTACCTACCCACCTTGAAAATTCTGGGTCGGGTTACTGCAAACAAACATTTTTTTAAGGATGGCCTTGGCATATGCTGTCCCCCTGTGTGTGAGTAAGTGTATTTTAAGTAAATTTATCATACATCTAAAAAAAAAAATTTTGTGTGATTTAACTTGTGTTGATTATTATATTTACAGTGGGTATATATTCTGGATGTGGTTCATCAGTTGTTATGCTGGTGTGGAATCAGCAGTGTTGATCCAGCACTCACAGCTGAGGTTGTGCTAAGGCTCGGACTTGTCCTTGAAAGTAGCGCTCATCTGGATCAAATTGAAGGTACATATATTTTCCTAAATATATTTATAAATAAGCAATCTTAAGCAATTCTGAGGATGTGATTGTGTGTTTTTTTGCTAATACTAATCCTCATTTTTATCTAGATAACATGTAGATAAAAGGTGTGTGGCTAGATTTAGATAGCGTACTAATATTTTGTTATGTTTCAACTATTCTTTTGTAAAGATATTTATTTGATTTTATTGTAAAAATGTTGTTGTTTTTTTTTCAATTAAGAGCCATCGAACCATGCAAGAAATAATTTTTGCTAGAAATTACTAATTGCAATTTGTTTGTGTTATGGGGTGTTACTTTTTTTAATAGATAGAAATGTTAGAAATGTCGAAACAGTAAAAAAAACACCATCAGATGAAATTCATATGGTTTCCAAGCAGCATGACTCCACATTCATGTTAGTTTTCATGAATTTTTTGAAACGTATTCAAAAGTAAAATAGTATTAAGTGAACAAATAAAGAAATTTACACATTGCAAATAGCACTTTAAATCAAAAAGAGGTCAGCATATTAAAAAAAAAGCTATTACTGTCAAAAAGAGGTCAGCATATTAAAAAAAAGCTATTACTGTGTTAGTCATGCAGTAGAAATATGGTGATAAATACTGCAAAATCAGTCACTAATTGCATATAACATGTAAATAATGTCTTGAATTGTGAATATTATTTACTTTTCTTAAAATCTTAGTACATTTTTTACAAGGTAGCTTTTCTTGAAATATTTTGGCTCATCTGGAGGCATGCAGCTTAAAGATAGAATGACTATTTCTTGTATGGTGTTTAGATTGTGTGTTGTATTGTATGCCTAGTTTTCCTGTCTGTAATTTACTGTGTCATTTACAATAGCTATCTTAATAAATATTGTGAGTGATGACACCTAAACCACCTTGTGTGCTTAATTTTTATTTCATCAATTTATGCCATATTTGTTTATTATCATAATTTTAATATACTGTATAAATATTTTAGAATGGTATATTTTTGCTTTCCAAAGGAATGGTCAAAGGTCAAACTTTATTAAATTTTCTAAAGAAGATTAAAGACCGTTGGCTTATGTTTTGAATATAAGACAACATTGTAAGGATATTAAACTTGTGTTGATATATTTATTTGCTTCAAAGGGAATTATTATTATTCATTGATTTATAGTTTTAAAGAAATAGAATATAAATAAAATAGGTTTATACAAAATGCTTTTTTGACAGAACTGATGTAAATGTATTGTGAATAAACAGGCCCCTGAAAAATCAGTGTTTCCTAGAGCTCATTTAAGGTGTTGGGAACTTTAATGAGATATTTTACAGTATTTAGAGTCATGAATAATCAAAATGGCATGAGTTTTGAGTATTTTGATTTATGCTTATTAACCTTGTGCTTGTGTTACGCTTAATTATTATGCCCCCGCCATGTAATGGCCGGGGCATATAGTGTTACCCTGTTCCGTCATTCCGTCCTTACGTCATTCTGTCATTCCGTCATCATCAGTTTCCATTCATTATGTTAAGAACGGTTGCACACATTCAACTCAAATTTGACATATGGATATGTCATGAGAAAATACAGGTCAAGTTCGAATTTGGTCATGGTTCGATGATTTTTGGCAGAGTTATGCCCCTTTTACTTTGAAAATAATATGAAATTTCAGTTTCCGTTCATTATCTCCCCAAAGGTACAACACATTCAACTCAAACTTGACATATAGATATGTCATGAAAAAATACAGGTCAAGTTCGAATTTGGTCATGGTTCGATGATTTTTGGCAGAGTTATGCCCCCTTTACTTTGAAAATAATATGAAATTTTCAGTTTCCGTTCATTATCTCCCCAACGGTACAACACATTCAACTCAAACTTGACATATGGATATGTCATGAGAAAATACAGGTCAAGTTCGAATTTGGTCATGGTTCGATGATTTTTGGCAGAGTTATGCCCCTTTTACTTTGAAAGTAATATGAAATTTTCAGTTTCCGTTCATTATCTCCCCAAAGGTACAACACATTCAATTCAAACTTGACATATGGATATGTCATGAAAAAAATACAGGTCAAGTTTGAATTTGGTCATGGTTCGATGATTTTTGGCAGAGTTATGCCCCTTTTACTTTGAAAACAATATGAAATTTTCAGTTTCCGTTCATCATCTCCCCAAAGGTACAACACATTCAACTCAAACTTGACATATGCGTCAAAGGAATGGGCAGGTTAAGTTCAAATTTGGTCATGGTTCGATGATTTTTGGCAGAGTTATGTCCCTTTCACTTTGAAAACAATATGAAATTTTCAGTTTCCGTTCATCATCTCCCCAAAGGTACAACACATTCAACTCAAACTTGACATATGCGTCAAAGGAATGGGCAGGTTAAGTTCAAATTTGGTCATGGTTCGATGATTTTTGGCAGAGTTATGTCCCTTTCACTTTGAAAGTAATATGAAATTTTCAGTTTCCGTTTATTATCTCCCCAAAGGTACAACACATTCAACTCAAATTTGACATATGGATATGTTTTTTGAATGCCCAGGCCAAGTTCGAATTTGGTCATGGTTCAATGATTTTTGGCAGAGTAATGCCCCTTTCACTTTGAAAATAATATGAAATTTACAGTTTCTGTTCATTATCTACCCAACAGTGTTACATATTCAACTTAAATTTGACATATGGATATGTCAAAGGAATGGGCAGGTCAAGTTGGAATTTGGTCATGGTTTGATGATTTTTTGGCAGAGTTATGTCCCTTTCACTTTGAAAATAATATAGATACATCTTAGGAATAAGCAGTTTAAGTTTGAATTTGGTCGTGGTTCAATGATTTTAGACAAACTTATCTTTCCTGAATGTTGGAAAAATTTTGAACTTTCAGTTTCAGCACTCATACTTTTAGCCATTATTTTGGCTACAAATATGCAATATGCTATTTTTAAAAAGTTAAGACTGAATAATTTTAGTGCCTTGAACATTGTATGAAAATGGTTTGTGTTAACATTGAAAAGTTTTAAGGGCTTTGAACTTAAAATGAAAAAAATAATTAATGCACCATCTGAAATTTTGGATGCATGCGGGGGCATCCGTGGCATGATGACACATTTCTAGTTTTCTTTATGTTTTGTAACTAACAATCTAGCTAGAATAGTGTTTTATTACTGGACAAGAAGTGCCTCGCAACAGCTACATGCAGTTACAACTTCCCCATCCAAACAGAATGAGAAGTCAGGTACTCCATGTCATGAGATAGATTTAGCTTTTATTATTTGTGAATTAATTAGTTAAAGGGACTCCACTGAGGTTTTTTGACATGATTGGGCTGGAAATAAATTTTTGGGATTAATGTTCAGTTTGATGAAGGATTAGAACAAAAAATGATGTGCAAAATTTCAGATCATTCGCTTACTCCATTTTCTCTGAATAATAACTTTAATTTTGAAAAGTGATCCAAAATCATTTTTCACACAAATTAACTTTGGATTAGCGCAAAAATACAATTTTCAATCTATTTCTGAGTATATTACTTAATTATCTTTATCATTTTTTAACTGTTTAAAGTGCTCCAGATAATCTATGTAAGAAATTCAAAGTTTGTGTTTTTAGGAAATTGACCTCAGTGGAGTCCCTTTAATTTTGAATTTTAAGTTTGAATGTTTGAACATGATTGTTATTTGATGTTAATTTTGGTTTTGAATTTGATATTGACTAAAAAGAGAAATTTAAGCTAAAAGATTAAGTTTCTTTTTGAATAAAGGTTGAAATTCTTATTGTCAGTTATTACTGTATTCAATGGTATGTCATGTAAATATATTCCATGCTGCTAAGATGTTTATGATAAGGAATAGTTTCCAGAGGAAACAAGTAATAAATGGATTTATGGTAACATTAAATTTCCAATCTTAATCTGGGTTATATTTATTTAGAAGTACATAACATTGTCAAATTTATAATTTTGACAGGAAATACATCTAGAGTTGGCTGTTTTTATAATCACATTTATGCCAATATTATACCATTAAAAGATCATGATATGACAAAAGACTGTTGATATACATGTATAAATGCCTATCTGTAATTTAAAAGCATATCATAATGGTACTAAATTCAAACTTATAATTTGGTTGGAAACTTTTAAATAATCAAAGCTGCATTGTATAAGAAATTAAATCAGAAATTATCAGAATTTATCATTACCAATGTTCTTTGCTGTAGATGGCCGGTCCCCTTTAAAGGATTCTTCAATGTCTGACCTGGCTCAGGAGGGGAGCCAGCATGTGAGTAGGACCTCCATGTTGTCGTCATCACTGCTCAATGTTAACCCCAGGAACCAGCTACTTCAGGCTAGAGATATTCTCGAACTCGGTCTGAAAAATGTCTCGTTTGCACGTCAGGCAGTAGCATTGGCTGATGGGAAATCTATTGCGGATATCAGCTGGGCTAAGGTAAGCAAAGGAAATTATTTTTTTGCCACAAACAATTTTTTTTTTAATTCTGTATATGATTTATTTTAATAAAATTCATATACATGTAATATTAGTTATAAACACATTTTTTTCTTTAATATTTAGTATCATTTGACTTTAGAACATTATGAGGTCATTTGACAAACAAACCAAATACAAATATATTACTGATTATTAGGTTTTTCAAAGGAATAATATTATAGAAAATATGAAACAAATCCAATGATTTAATTTGCAGAAAATTATTCCTACTAGTAAACTCCCTCCAGAATTGGAGGGGGTACATGACCCCTTCTTACCCTCACTCTTTGAGTTATATAGGGGTCAGTCACCCCTGTCATCTGAAAATGACCAGGGTAAAGGGGTACCAGGAGGTAAAGTGGTAAGTCAAGCATCTGTGTGAGATTGATCAAATATATCAAGTGCCTGTGTGACTTGGCAGAATCATCATCTTTCAAATGTTTCCATTGGTTATATTTTTTTTTTTAAAGTTTTTTTGTTGAAATTTTTTTTTTGCAATCCTCTAGATCTAACTTGTTTTTATACCCCCAAAAATGAAGTTTGGGGGGGGGGGGGGGTATATAGGAGTCACCCAGTGGTCGGTCGGTCGGTCAAGCTGTCCGTTGCATTTTCCTTGTCCGGAGCATAACTTGACGACTAATGGTTGGAAGTCAATATAACTTCATACAATGGTCAAGCACATTGAGAGGAAGTGCAGTGCACAAGAACCATAACTTTATCTTGACTAATTACAGAGTTATTGCCCTTTGTTACTTTTCCTTGTCCAGAGCATAACTTGAAAACTACTGGTTGGAATACAAAACAACTTCATACAATTGTCAAGCACAATAAGGGGAAGTGCAGTGCACAAGAACCATAACTCTATCTAAAGTAATTACAGAGTTATTGCCCTTTGTTACTTTTCCATTGCTTTCTTTTGTCCGGACCATAACTTGAAGACTAATGGTTGGAATTCAATATAATTTCATACAATGGTCAAGCACATTGAGAGGAAGTGCAGTGTACAAGAACCATAACTCTATCTTGACTAATTACAGAGTTACTGCTCTTTGTTACTTTTCCTTGTCCAGAGCATAACTTGAAAACTACTGATTGGAATTCAAAACAACTTCATACAATTGTCAAGCACAATAAGGGGAAGTGCAGTGCACAAGAACCATAACTTCATCTTGACTAATTACAGAGTTATTGCCCTTTGTTACTTTTCCATTGTTTTTTTTGTCCGGAGCATAACTTGAAGACAAATGGTTGGAATTCAATATATTTTCATACAATGGTCAAGCACAGTTAGAGGAAGTGCAGTGCACAAGAACCATAACTTCATCTTAACTAATTATAGAGTTATTGCCCTTTGATATTTTTTCTTGTCCAGAGCATAACTTAAAAAGTTCTGGTTTGAATTCAATACAACTTCATACAGTTGTCAAGCACATTAAGAGGAAGTGCAGTGCACAAGAACCATAACACCATTTTGACAAATTACAGAGTTATTGCCCTTTGATATTTTTTCTTGTCCAGAGCATAACTCAAAAAGTTCTGGTTGGAATTCAAAAAAACTTCATACAATGATCAAGCACAATAAGAGGAAGTGCACAAGAACCATAACTTTATCTTGACTAATTACAGAGTTATTGCCCTTTGTTACTTTTCCATTGCTTTTTTTGTCCGGAGCATAACTTGAAGACAAATGGTTGGAATTCAATATATTTTCATACAATGGTCAAGCACAGTTAGAGGAAGTGCAGTGCACAAGAACAATAACTCCATCTTGACTAATTATAGAGTTATCGCCCTTTGTAACTTTTCCTTGTCTGGACTATTACTTGAAAACTACTGGTTTGAATTCAGTACAACTTCATACAGTTGTCAAGCACATTAAGAGGAAGTGCAGTGCACAAGAACCATAACACCATTTTGACAAATTACAGAGTTATTGCCCTTTGATATTTTTTTAGCATAACTTAAAAAGTTCTGGTTGGAATTCAAAAAAAACTTCATACAATGATCAAGCACAATAAGAGGAAGTGCACTGCACAAAAACTATAACTCTGTCCAGAGTAATTATAGAGTTATTGCCCTTTGTTACTTTTCCATTGCTTTTTTCTTGTCCAGAGCATAACTTGAAAACTACTGGTTGGAATTTAATACTATTTCATACAATGGTCAAGTATATTGAGAGGAAGCACAGTGTACAGAAGTGTTCACTCTTTCTGGACTCATTTAAAAGTTTTTGCTCTTTGTTACTTTTTATTGTCCAGTGCATAACTTGAAAATTAATGGTTGGAATTCAATAAAACTTTATACAATGGTCAAGGGCAGTGAGATGAAGTGCAGTGCACAAGAACCATAACTCTTATTGGACTTATTACAGTTATTGCCCTTTGTTACTTTTTTGTCCTGTGCATAACTTGAAAACATGTAGTTGGAATTCAATACAACTTCATACAATGGACAAGTGCAATGAGAGGAAGTGCAGTGTACAATAACCATAACTCCATCTTCAGTATTTATAGAGTTATTGCCCTTTGTTCCATTTCCTTGACTTTCTGGACTTATTGCAGAGTGATTCAATAAAACTTCATCAGTGGCCAACCACATTGAAAAGAAATGCAACATATAAGAACCACAACTATCTTTAATTGCCCACAACCATAACTGTATTTCAATTGTTTTACAAGGTATTCTGTTACTAGTAACATCCTCATTTCCAAAGCAGTCTTGCGGGGGTATTAATCACATTTAGTGATATTTCTAGTTATATTTAAGCTATAAAATTTTTGAATGCAAAATAATGTCAGATAAAAGTAACATAATTTCAAGGGTTCATTAAAACACTTTCTTAATTTTATAGATCTACAACAGTGTTGCATTCATTCTTCATTATGCTATTGCTAGAGGCCATAGTTTTTATGGTATTGTCCTTTGCATGCAACATTTGATGAAGGGATCGTAATTTAATTATTTACAAAAGGATAACACAACCTTGTTTTTTAATTCTTCATGAAAATTTACCATTCACTTTTTCAGGATATTGTTCTTGTAAGTTCCAAAAATAAGTTACTACACAAAAAAGTCAGCACTTTCTAGTTACTATATATATGCAGACCCTAATATATTGCATTATACAAAATATATATATATATATCCTAACTGATATTCTTATATATTTGAGCCGCGTCTTGACAAAACCAACATGGTCTGGATCCATGCTGGTCGCAAACGCACTATGTTGGTTTTGTCGTGATGCGGCTCATTTATTGTTAACATTTATTTGTGATGTTAGATGCATGATATAGTCCAATGCATGATCATAGTTTACTTATTTTGACCAGTGCTTATATTGTGCCAGTACTTTTACGATATCAGTACATATATGTATATACCATACCGTATAAGTACTTATTTCTGTGGGCTTAATATTCTGCGATTTCTGTTAAAATAAGGGGTTTTAAATTTCTGCGTATCTTATATGGTGTCATCATTCTCGCATTGATGTATTTTTATTTCTGCGGTTTAATTTAGATATTTTTAAAAAATTAACCGATACAAACAGACAACATTTCAAGATGTGTTGATGTAACATGTACATTACTTCCGGTAAACATGCAGGCGACTTCTAATGTGTTTTATCGTAATCATCATGTATCAGTATATAAACATTAATAAACAAAGATTTACAAAGTGCAATGACAACAATTAATTGTAATACTGCATGTGTATAAATATGAAGTATGAAAAATAAACAATGGTAAAATCGCACGTAGGCACAAGATATTGTACAAATACAAAAGGGTTTGTTTATAGCATGCGTCAAACTATAATAGTTTTATTTTACAAAAAAAAATCAAGCTTAGGGTGAGCGAAAATCATACAAACATGATATTTATTTAAACAAAAAGAACAATTAAAGTAACTTTTTTTCTAATATTTTATTCATGACGGACACATAAGAAAACTTCCCATCTACAAAACCGATAACGGTACATGGTAATGTAATTATACAATACCGGTAGTTGACATATTCTGACATAGACATAGTGAAAGGCTTAATTTTCTGCGGTTTTTAAATCTGCGGTGTCCTTAAGAACCGCAGAAATAGCAGAAATAAAGTTCCCGCAGAAAAAAGTACTTATACGGTATGTTGTACTGTACCTATACATTTATCATATGAGTGCTTGTGCCAAACCAGTACTAAATGTTCTGTATTAGTACTTGTAATATACATGTACCAATATTTGTGTCTTACCAGTACTTGTATCATGTACCAGTACTTGTATCATGTACCAGTACTTGTATCATGTACTAGTACTTGTATACTACTAGTACTTGTATCATGTACCAGTACTTGTATCATGTACCAGTACTTGTATCATGTACCAGTACTTGTATCATGTACCAGTACTTGTATCATATTAGTACTTGTATCATGTACCAGTACTTGTATCATGTACCAGTACTTGTATCATGTACCAGTACTTGTATCATGTACCAGTACTTGTATCATGTACCAGTACTTGTATCATGTACCAGTACTTGTATCATGAACCAGTACTTGTATCATATTAGTACTTGTATCATGTACCAGTACTTGTATCATGTACCAGTACTTGTATCATACCAGTACTTGTATCATGTACCAGTACTTGTATCATGTACCAGTACTTGTATCATGTACCAGTACTTGTATCATGTACCAGTACTTGTATCATGTACCAGTACTTGTATCATGTACCAGTACTTGTATCATGTACCAGTACTTGTATCATGTACCAGTACTTGTATCATGTACCAGTACTTGTATCATGTACCAGTACTTGTATCATATTAGTACTTGTATCATGTACCAGTACTTGTATCATGAACCAGTACTTGTATCATATTAGTACTTGTATCATGTACCAGTACTTGTATCATGTACCAGTACTTGTATCATGTACCAGTACTTGTATCATATTAGTACTTGTATCATGTACCAGTACTTGTATCATGTCAGTACTTGTATCATATTAGTACTTGTATCATGTACCAGTACTTGTATCATGTACCAGTACTTGTATCATGTACCAGTACTTGTATCATGAACCAGTACTTGTATCATATTAGTACTTGTATCATGTACCAGTACTTGTATCATGTACCAGTACTTGTATCATACCAGTACTTGTATCATGAACCAGTACTTGTATCATGTACCAGTACTTGTATCATGTACCAGTACTTGTATAATACTAGTACTTGTATCATGTACCAGTACTTGTATCATATTAGTACTTGTATCATGTACCAGTACTTGTATCATGTACCAGTACTTGTATCATGAACCAGTACTTGTATCATGTACCCAGTACTTGTATCATGTAC